CTCTGGCCTGGCTTCTCGCGAAGAACAGGAACCGCAGATTAGACTCCGCACTCACTTCGTGCTTATTTGCACGTCTCACTCACACGCATTCACACCTGTACACTTTTAGATGAAACGTTCTTACCTTTTAGCTTTTTCTCTTTTTCTCTTTTTTTTTTTTTTTTTTTTTTTTTTTTTTTTTTTTTTTTTTTTTTTTTTTCTTTCACATTCCAAAGCCCTTTCTCGAGAGCAGCTATTGGAACCGCTCCCAGAGATTGGCACCACTCCCAGAATTTATCAAACCCTTCCCAGACGTTTGGAAATAATCCCAGATTAGTTAAAACACTACAACAGACAAGCGATACGACAGACAAGCGATACAACAGACAAGTTTTGCCGGCAAACTTATCCGCTCCGGTGGGACTCTAACCCACGATTACCTGGAAGCCCACCCCGAGGCCGGGACTCTAACCCGATTTTTTTTTGGGACTCTAACCCAAAATACCTGGGGGTGGCCAAATCCAGGCCGGGACTCTAACCCGTAGGGGATTATATGCTGGGGCGTCCCCTCAGCGTTCCCCTGGGGGTAACGTCTTACCCCCGTCTCAATAGAGCGCTTTCTATTCCGAAAACATATAAAGCAAAACACAATAACGTATAAAGCAAAACACAATAACATATAAAGCAAAATACCTCTTAATTTAAAGCAGGAGTTCTTGTCCGCCGTCGCACGTAGGTCCGAGGGGTCTGAGGAGTCTCTACCGACAAAAATCCGCCGGCAGGGCCCAGAGAGTCCCTAGACCCCCAGGCCCCGGCTCAGGAGGACTAAAACCTCCTGCCTGGCTTCGCCAAAAATGATGCCGAAATTTTGCCCCAAAAGGCACGGAGAAACTGCTTTAGAGACAAAGTTTTGTTTCTTTAAAGCAGGAGGTATTTTATTGCAACGCGTTGGGAAGCTCTCCAGGTCGCCCTGGGCAAAGAGCTTCGACGTGTACAATCAGCATAGCTCTTTTATACAGTTTTTGAGTATAGGATTACAACACAATCATACATATTCATTAAATTGCAACATCTAATTGTAATATTCATATGAAGGCGGAGTCTGGGCGGAGTCTTCAATTTGGGGAGATTTCACGGTGGGGGTTCCTGTTGCCTTCCTCTGGGCGGGGGTCGTGTGTGAGTCTTCCTCACTGTAAACTTCTGAACTTTCTTTCGATCTTCTCCTTTTAAGGCAGTTTTGGCAAACACAATAAGGTCAGGCTGACTTTTGGCTCATCCTATGATTTGCTGAGTTGCTTTCTCTGTGAGGAATGCAGCTATCTCTCTAGGACTGCTCTAGGATTCGCTGAGTTGCTATCTCAAGGACTGCCTAGTTTCCTAATGTTAAGGTTTTGAAATTTCTCTTACAATTTTGTGTTAACCTTTTATGTTTCAAAGTTTTAAGTGAGTGGCTTCACTACTAGCTCTGAGTTAAATTTGGCCTCTTTGCTTCCTCTGTTTTTTCTTTCAGATAGGGCTGTTAAACTGCTGGGAAGAAATATTCCCTCAGTTCTGAGGATGACCGAAGGAGTGGATCTGAAGATAAGCAGAAGGCTTTGCATTAAACCCCAGGAAGAAAGTAAAATTCAGTCAAAGAGTAAGAGTTTTTTATAAGATCTTGCTATGTTTTATGCCACTAAATACTCAGATATCCATGCTGCAGTCATCTGAACAGGAATTTGGCCGACATAGATGCTACTGTCCCTGATTTTGTGAGAGTGAGTTTTGATCTGTAGACAGGAAAATTGAGCATTAAATTTAGCAATGAGTCTTGTTTTCTAACAAAGCCAGGGGTCAATATTTCTGCTTGTGGTGATAACACAGCTTTCACTTTGTAACAGGTCGCTAGTATCTTATCTGGCGTGCACTCCTGCATTGAGGCTCTTCAGCTGTGCTCTGGAACTGGCTGTTCAGCCCCAATGTAAACTATTAATGTTTTAGGAACACTGTATAAACTAAAATACTTTTGCAGTTTTTCAGAGTGCAGCAGCTCCAGCTGTTCCCAAAATTGAACGTGCCCTGCAGGAGAGAGTCTGAATCGTTGCCTTGGTTCGTGTTTAAGGGTGGAGCTGGTCAGGGAAAGCTCAGAAACATTTTTTCACTATATATGGGACAGATACGGTGCTCTAACCAGACTTCCTGTATAACAGGTTCCCTTATGGCCCACTGATGCAGGATAAAAGGAGCACACAGATGTGAAGCATTAGGCATGCTTCTGTTTTGAAAACATAACAGAGCTGTAGTGGGTAAGACAAGAGGTCTCCTTAAAATTGTGATGTTTCCACCAGTGCCTGGTAAAGGAGGTCCCTTATGGTTTTGTGAAGACTAATGGGAATGGTGACCTACGGCAAACACAGTGTTTCTCCTCTATACTGTCCCACAGGTGGCATCCTTGTGTTTAATGGCCCTCACTGGATTTTTTTTTTTTTTTTTCATAAACTTGCCCAGTTTCTTGAAGCTGGATGTATTTTTAGCATCCACATTCTCCAAGAAGGAATTCCTCAGCTTAAGCATGCTGTGAGAAAAACAAGTACTGTCTTGTATTCCTTTTTTAACCCGATGTGTACTTTTGTATAATCTGATTTTCCTTTATTCAGTACCCCTTCCAAAACAGGGCCTGTTCATTGTAGCTCACACTCCCAATGTCATTTACAATGCCCTTTTGTTCTGAGAGGAGTTTCAATTACTTGTTTTCCAGGCCAAAGGGTCTCAGTCTGTGGCACTGTTTCTTACATGGTGGCCATTCCATACCTGTGTTGTCCTTACCAGTTTTCCCTGTGCCTGTTCTACTTCAGCTCCCTCTGAGATGAGGGATCAGTATTTCACATGCTTTCCGAAATGCTGGAGTTGCAGTTTTATACAATGGCACAGTAATGCTGTTGTTTGTCTGTGTTCCCAATCACTGCTTGTTATGCTGTTTTTCCTTTCTATTACTGAACATCTTGCCAAAACCACTGTGAAACCCCAAGGACTTAACTCCTCAGGCTTAGGTAATAATTAATAACAGTTAGGTTAGAGTCTGTCATTTGTGTGTGAACTAGAATTGCTTCCTGTTTATATACAAGGACTTTCACTCACAGGCCTCATTGACTCAGGATTCTGAAGCCCTGCAGTTCCTTGGGGTAGGCCTCATGTTTTTTAATAACCTGCCATTGTCAGCAAACTGTGTGTCCACCCCAATTCCTAGATAATTCATGAATCCACGAGGAAGCACAAATCCATACAGGATACCTCTCATTGTTTAAAAGAAAAAAAAGAAAGGGAAAAAGCTGTCTTATCTTTGCCCTTTGCTAGATTTTAATGGTATTTTATGTATGAAAACTTTCCTCTATTGCATTATGAATATTTTATATATGGTGTTTGAAAGACTGAATTGAAAATTATGGTTGTCTGTTTATTTGGACCTTCAATAGGATAAAATCTTTCCCTGCCTGAAAAGGTTAACATTCTGTGATCAGATAGTGCAGCACAGTGGTTTTTCTGTAGCTGTTCCATTTAATTTTCTTTTTTTTTTTTTAAACTAATTTAAATGTAATAGAAAAACTATAATATTGCAGCACTTTAGGAAGTTTAGATGCTGGAGCAGCTCCTGCAAATTTAGACACACAAATATGGAAGTCTTGGGATAAATTTAGCTTTCTTTACGTGGCCTCAGTTTAATGCATATTTCCATGTTTGTTAACCTGTGATACAATTTTTGTTCTCTAACCAACTCTAGCACTCATATTTAAAATTCTGCATTGCTCACCCAAATTGCTTTTGTTACAGCTCTGGCAATCCAGCTTCCCTGACTGTTGCTTTTGGTGGTGTTTTTTTTTGTTTTTGTTTTGTTTGTGCATTTTGCTGGGTTTTTTTAGGTCAATCTCCTTTGAGGGTGCCTGGATACAAGCCTACAGACTGGGAGAAAAGATTTTTGTTGTGGGCAGGCCATTTCAAGAAACCAGAGGACATACCAGAGACTGTCTCGTAAGTGTCAGTTTTGAAGCTGTAAAAGAGACTTTGTTTGTGCTGGAATAAGTTACTTGAATGCAATTCCAGAATAACTCTTCTTAAATGGAATGGGTTTGCACAGCTGAAAAATCTTACACTGCTGTGTCTGGTGTAACATCTTGCAGATGAGATGACCTGAGCGACTCTGTTGTGCTGAGATAATATATCCCTCTTGATTTGTTTTGCAAAGGGATGACCAGCATTTATCAGTTTTTTCATTAGAGAAACATCACAGATCAGTCAATTTTTCACTCTTGTCTTACAATTAAAAAGCTTTTTTCAAACATTAGTGTGAGCTTTTTCTAGTGTTTTTCTTTATATGTCAGCCTCCCCTTGTGGAAAACTTTCATGATACACTATAAAATAATTGAATCTTATATAAAATATTTATTAATTAATATCTAGAGGGCACAGGCCAACTTTAGTCTTGGGATTTAAACTAACAAACAGTGGAGGGAAAGGCTCCCTAACAATAAATATTTAGTCAAAATTTCCCTGTTGCTAGTGGAGTCCAAATGACAATGCTTTGCCCTGTGTGAAAAGTAGAAAATAAAACTGGATGTTCTGGTTTGCCTATCTAAAATGAAGATCAAACTTATCAACAAGTTGGCAACTATCAGTTTAAAAATACCTGCTAGTGGTAGTATAGTTATCCTTTAAGACATGCTCATAATGCTTTTAAATGTAAGTCTTTATTTAAATTAAAAAGATACAGTAAATCTTGCACTGCTTGAGTAAGAAAACAATGTAGCTGCCCTCTAAATATTTTCTGGTTTTTTGGATGCACTGCATGGGAATTGGAAATCCACCCATGTATCTCAGTGCGTCACAACGAATAAATTTTGTTAAAATGGAATCCTTCAATTTTGTATTTAATCATTTTTCTTAAATTTACGTTTGAAATACATACAGGTGTATATTATCAACTCGTATATCTTCACATGCCAAACACCTGTTTATGAGGGTTTTTAAAAAAACAAAGTTAACCGTGATTGATTTCAGTAGTTTATTGAAAGGACAAACCAAATTCTGGTAAAAGCTGACCATTTGTGCAAATGCATAGGGAATTCTTTTTATTTAGACAAATAATTCAGCCAAATCTGAGACGACAATTGAGAACTATAAACACAGAAAAACTTGTTTTCCTGTTCTGAGATTAATTAATTGTGGGTTGTAAGGGCTTGTGATATAACTCGGTAATCTTGTAAAATGTGGTGATCAGAAGTAACTCATTTATTAAACAAATATTAATCTTAGCCACTGACTTGATTTAAATGCAGACTGTGTTCAGATATCTACCTTTTGCTCTCATATGTATTCTTAACACATCTAAGGTACTTCCAAAATTAATTAGCACAGTTTTTTTAATCCTGCTTCTGTGCATTTCAGCTTAATTGCAGCTTGCACTCAGGTGGTCATTGTAGATTGTTAGCAGAAACAAATAACCTAGATGCTAAAATTAACTGTTAGTTTCATTGTAGATGGATGTGTTTGTTCCCTATGATCAGAAGCCTTGCAATCAAATCAATACTCTGACAAAAACAAGAGCAAAACTCTTTTCAGCTCTCAGGTCTTATGTGATTTACCACGTTGAACTATTGTGGATCCTTACGTATCTTTTTCTTCTTCCAAGTATAAGGGTCAAAATGTAGTAAAAGATTTCATATTCACTCATGTCTGTATACAGTAATAATTTCCCAGTTCCATTAAATCCATTATCCGTGTTAGTTTTGGGCTGTAATTACCTAGTTTGATGTATTTATTCTTTTCACCATGCACTGTGGATGCTTTTCAAGTCTTCTGGAACTTTATAACGTGGTAAATTTAATCAGTGAGAATATCAGGCCTCCTTGAGAAGGGAGTCACCTGCTCTAAATTCTGCAAGGAGAATTAAATATATAGGCAGGCTGTAAGTCTTTGGTTATTTTGCAGAGCGCATCCAAAAAGCACTAACACTTCCTTGGCCCTTCTTGCTTTGCTCTAACACAAAATTTGCTGTAACCAAGATGTCATTTGGGTAGAATGATCTTCAGAGTTTAACCCAATTAAAATAAATGGTCTTTTCTTTTAACTCTTCACATGTACAGCTGGAAGGTGTTAATAACCGCTACTCTTCTTGTGGAAGACTTCTGGTTTTTAAAGATAACAGCAGACTAGGCAACAGGTTTCCCAAAGGAGTAGTATAGCTACTGGTGTGGTAGGTAAGCCCCCTGAAATTATGGAGAGAAAAAAAGGATATAAAGGGTTCCTCTGTCCAAATCTGATGGTGGAAAGCTTACATTCCTCCACACCTCCTTAGTTTCTTACAAAAACAGATTACTTGAAGACTATTTATTCTAGCAGGAGGGAAGTGCTAACCACTTGTCTTTTACCAAGTCCTTTTCAGAATTTCTGAGGGGTATTGTACCCACCAGCCAGTGTATCATCTGTCAAATCCTGTAGTATAGGAACATGCCTTGCTGGAAAACAGACTTTGTCATAAATGACACTATTGTGAAGTTCAGGAAGTAGAAATGGCTGAGCTGTGAAAATGCTTCCCTCAGCCCAAGAAAATCCCAGCTCTTAAATTCTGTATGTTATTCTCGCTCACAAATGGTTTTTACCATACCTCTGCTATTGAGAGAAGAATGCATGTTTTACAATGCTAAATACATCACAGTTAGACTATGGAGCTTTCCCGGCTTTGCAGATATTGGAAGGTGGTAGTGAGCACAGAGGGAGTGAACAGTAAGGAAAACACTGCATTACTAAACCCTCTCTTTTTCTTGTTCTTTCCACAATGAACATACATACTTAAATGCTGCAGCCTTCCTCCTTTGCATTGCAGTCAAGTGGTCTGCAAAGGCATTACTGTCTCTTAAAAATGAAGTAACCACAGATAAAAAAGCTGGGTTTGTTTCCAGCTTTGAGAGGAATGTCTTTGTGACCAAGTATGTCCCAAGGTAGCTGGGATCAGCCTTTCCCATCTTGTAAAACTTTTTTTGTGAAAAGCACCAAGAACTATTAGCATTATAAAAAACTACCTCAATAGCATGCTAGGAGAAATTAAACAATTAGTCAAGTGATTTATTTAGGTCTTGGATAATGAGTCTGTTCTTTTATTCTTATTTCTTGAGGATTGAAACAATCAGAGCAGCAAAGACCACACTGCGTGTGAAGTTCAGCTATGTAATGATTGCCTTGACAGTAGTGGGATGCATCATCATGGTGATTAGAGGGAAGCAGGTAAGCACAGATTTTTGGCTGATGAGTGCAAATCAATCTTAACATAAACTTCTTGGTTACTCTACAGATTTTTAGTACTGTCTTGCTTTGGGGCTTTGTGGGTTTTTTTGTTTTGTTTTTTTTCATTTTATCACTGAACAAAAATGTTAGAAGTCCTCCTAGTTCCCCAGAAGAGACCCTCATTGACTAATTCCCAGTGGAAAAGGATGATGCCACTGTTAAAAGATTGCATGTGCTTCCTTTAAAAGAAAAAAACCTTTCAGCTTAAACCATCTGCATGCACAGAAGAACCTTCTTTGTATGCTGCTTTTCTCCGAAGCAGTTCTTCTAATGACAGTGTTCAGATCTTGTTTCTATGGACTGCTAAGTGTTCTAGAGAAACCTTAAAACTGGTGACAGTCTGTGAATTGCTGAATGTCAAATGACATTTCTGTCAGCATTTGTCTATTAAAATGAAAAGGATGCAGCACTCTGAAATGAAACAGGGCAAAGGTTTTTCCCTGGCTTTAGCAGAAGAGATCAAACACTGACAATTCCCAGAATATTTTCCTCTGTACTGGAGTAGTAGGAATGCAAACACCAGGAAGTGAGGACAGCTACTTTGGAAACCTTGTTTTCAAAGAAGCTGGAACTATTTGTTTCCTGAGATGAGTTCAGTTGGCTACAGTATAGTGCTAATAACACCAAGGTCACAGGTTCAGTCCCTGGATGGGCCAGCCATTCACTCGATGGTCCTTGTGAATCCCTTCCATTTCAGAAGATTCTGTGATTCTGTTTAACTTTTGTTTCTAGTACCTGTGACTTGTGAAGATTGGAGATTAGTATTATATACTGACCAGAAGCACAGAACATATCTTCTAGTACCTTAACAAAAGGGTTGAGTTTATTCCCAGAGATAATAATAAATTCAGTTTATTCCCAGCCTAAATGGTTGCTGGATATTTTATTTTACCCCTCTTGCTTCCTGGTGTTACTGCTGACAGAACTGTGCCTCGGTAAGGATAGGCCAGATATTTTGTAAGCCATCAACTCAAGTTTCAGTTCTGTGGTCCTTCAGGTGATAACTGATGATCTTATTACATTGCAGGCTGTAAAAAGACATGAAACTCTTACAAACATAAACTTGGAGAAGAAAGCCCAGTGGAGAGAGGAAAGGACTGCCCCTGCTAAACCTTAAAAGAGAAAATGAAGAGCAAGGACTGGGGAAGAAAATCCAAGTCTGTTTCAGCACTGGAAGGAGGATATAGTCACATCTTTCCTGTATGTTAGTTCTGTACACTCACGTTCAAGAAAGAATGAATACATTATCCTGTAATAATTAAACCCAGAAATACCTACTTTCTTTTCCTAATAACTGCCCCTTTCTTTCAGACTCTTTTTTTCGTGGTTAGGGGGACAGGACACGTGAGCAAACTGGAGAGACAAAATATTTGTATCCCACATATGCTATGCACTAGACTAAGCATCTTTTAAAATACTGCAGAAGCTGTACTTGCATTCTTGGTACCAGTCCCCTTTATGAAAGGTCTTACTGTCTATTTAGTTTTCACTTGTACAAACAAAATACTTTCACTGGGCAGTCATCCACTATCAGCAACTATTTCGGCTATTTTCTAGGTCCCGTCAGGAAGAAGGGGGCTATATATGGAAGAATGCAGCTATAATTATTCTGTATTGATACTGGCTGCTTCACATATTCTGTATGTTTCCCTCTGTGCAAGACAGAAAAATTACTAAGGGAGCCCTCGAGTCAGGAGTAATTGTCTGACTTGCATTAACATCATCAAAATGATCATAACTTAGCCTGTTTACCTGCTCTAGGTCCAATTATTCTGGCCCCATTTAAGTGAGGGATTACTTTCTGTGAAGAACTGCCTGCCTTCAGTAAAACAAGGAGGGAGATGGATAGTGAAACAGCATTCCAGAGAACCATTGTGTTACAGCTGGCAACCTGATGGTTGTCACACCAGAGCTGGAACAGAGATGAGCAACAGCTCCAACCTGTACTGTCAGATTTAGTATTTTGAGGCACATGAGTACGAGAAAGTCCATCAGACATTCCTGCTCTCTGCTACTATGGTCTTTATTTCCAAATCTCATTTATTTGTATTTTCCCCCTTTAAGTTGTCATCTGTACTCTCATTATACTAGCCCACCTAGAGATCACCTGCCTCATGTTTTAGAAGTGGCAGTCCCAGTAATACCTGCAAAGAGCAACTCCCAACAGTTCTACTTCTGGCATTGAGCCCAAAGAGTCACACACTATTCATGCTGAACAGCTTGCAGCAGCCAGACATAGTATTCTTCCTCCTCCTGACAGTTCATTTGGAAGGAAATGTAGATTGGAAGTGTCAGGACTGCTCAAAACCTGTTACTTCCCAGCACTGCCTGCTCACTGGTCCTGCAGACTCCAAAAATAGAAGCGACATACCAGTTTGGTAGATTTAGCTTGTGAACTTTCTCATAGAAGGAGGGTAGATTATTTTTTTTGAAACCTTTTCCAGATTAGTTTTATTACACTCCTGAAAATTAGCACTGTTGCTGAGTGAATCAAAAGCCCTACAAAAATGCATGGGAAATTTTCTCTTTATACCTGGAAAAGAGAAGCAGTAAGGTCTCTACTGCAGTCCTCTCTAGTAGCTTTGTCCTTTACTCCACAGCTAGAAAATCGTTGCTGCAGACCATCTTTCTATGAATTGCAATTCTGGGTACCACAATGAGATGTAACCAATCAGACAAGCTGTGAAGTCAATTCCACCACAGAAGTTACAACCTTCAGGTGATACCATGACTTGCCATCATATTCTCTGTATGGAAATTATCACAAGTACACTGTCAGTCAAGCAGAGCAGGCTTCCACAGCTTTGTCCACTTAATGAGCACTGAATGCAAGTCACATTTAATTCCATTGCAGGTTACATGAAACAGATTTTCCATGAGTTCTAGTTCTTAGGCACATAGGTGAGAACCAAAACAAATCTTGCCAGATTACGTGCCTGTGATCATGTATGTATTAAGTAAGACCAAAAAAAAGAGAACATGCATTTCGGACGGTATTTCAGGTTTCCACGAAGAAAAACTTGTGATTTATGCTTGGTGATGGCAGAGCTTAAAACTGCATTCCAAAAACATTACCCTTTCAATACGCATCTGAGTGCTCTCTTTGAACAGAACTGGAAGGTACCTCATCTAGTTTTGGAATAGTACTTTTTTGACTTACCCAGCTGGTAAAGTACTTCAAATAAAAATGTGCAAAATACCCCTTAGAACTGGTGATCAGTTTTCCATTTTACTTAAATTTCTATAAGCTTTTTACCATTTACTCAAAAACTGAAGTCTGGTCCAGTTTGACAAAAGCTCCATGTATCTTTTTGTCACTCTGGTATCTCCACCATTTCAGTATCTGTCATAAAAACTGTGCAGCACTGCCCACCTTTGTGTTTTCTTTCAGCTTCCATTTAGGCTCCAGAGTCTCAAACAAAAGCCCAAGACAATGTGCTTTGTGCTGTCTCCAGCTCACTCCCAACCACTGCAGTATTTTCTTGGCAAATAGCTGGGTACTAGAAAAATGATGTAAATCTTTCTCAGAGAGGCAGTGAAAGAAGCCACCTCTTTCCTAGTGTGATGGCTTCTAAGGAAGCACTTCTAAACACAGACAATGGTGACAAAACCACCGTGTTTCTGGCTGAAGCAGACTGTCCAGCTGACTGGAGAAATGAATACACCTTGGATCACCTGACAACTCATAGCTTTAGCCTGCAGCCTTTTAACAGTGCATGTGATGGAGAGGAACATAGTAAGCCCTTAAACGGTATTTAATTTTCTTTCTTCCCTTTGGCTTGGTCTGTAACACCATTCACATTTACTCAGAACAGTCACATTTATCAGTCCTATACCATATGCCATATTGCTGTACCTGTTCCAGAGGCAACTGAAACTTCCTAATGCAACGATCAATCTGGCAGCTTCAACACTGCCTCAGAAGAGCATGCAGGAACCTTATGGACATGGCCACAGCAGTACACAAACAGGTCCTGTTTATTTTCTGCTACAACTCAGGCAACTGAAGAAAGACCTTCCTGTCTAAAACTGGCATTGGAGAGTGCCAATGGTGTGTTGTACCAATTTCCAGAAGAAAATAAATCACACTGGAAGATGTGGGGAATTACTTTAAGCTGGCAGAGAGATAAGATAGCTGTTCTGGAAATCCTCAGAGAAGAACAGAAGTGTAACAGCAAGAGCACTGTCACATGTAGGACCATGTGCAATCTACTTCTTCAACACTCGGTGCTAATAGGAAAAAAAATGCAGGTTCAAGAACACACAGGTCTTTGGGGGTCATTGTCTTCCTCCATTCTCTTAACATTAGAGGAAGGGACTTCAACCACCAGTATTTGGTTTGCAGCAAGGAACCAACACAGGAATTTAGGAACAGGCTGAAGTCTGTAGGCAGCAGTTGCCCCAAATAATTATGTGGCGTCTTCCCATGAGCCTCAGCACTGGTCCTGGTTTAATTATTGAGCTTTCAATAACCTGCCCCATCATCTCTTGTATCCTCCTGAATCCAAGAGAGTAACCCTGCCTGCCATGTTCCACTGGGAAATTTACTAACAGAAAGAATAACAGCTCCTGTCTGCTGGCCCAACAAATACGCAACTTAAATGGCATTACTGATCTGTGGTCAGAACTGCTAGACAGCAATTCCAGGCAGTCTTGCATCTTCCTTTCTCTAACACCCATTTTAAAATAGACATTGTTAAAACCTGAATGCAGTGTTTCCGCCTCATTACTGATGTTGCAAAAAGAACTGGAGAAATTTTCATTAATCTTTTCACCTTAGCAGTCTGTGGGGCTTTGGGAAGGTGCTTAGATTGTGTCCCCACAAGCAGAAACAAATGCATATGTTTCAATTTGGAAGAAAACATGCGATTGCTTTTCTGGCACTCCAGGTTGCTTGGCAGAGCTAAGCGAAGAACCCAAGAACTCCCAACAGTACCCTCACCTATCCTCTACACAAGACCAGCTGCCTCCTATTTAGACACAAAACAATAGATCATTCAAAACACAGTGTGACCATCACAAAAGTGGCAGCTAGAGGTGTTCTCTGAGATGGTCCCTGTCTGAGCACATCCTTCAGGACAGCAAAGAATACTGCTTTCAGTGTTTCTAGCAGGGGGCATAGCTACACAGAACTGTGTTAGGAAGTAGTGTTCAAGCAGTAACAGATAATGATCCTCATCTTTTCAGACATGCTTTTCCTCCAAAAGAGTCCTTCACCTGTGGCCTGAACGTTATGTATTAGATGGGTAATGTTATGCTACACATTTGGCTCTGCTAAAATGCAAATACTTTACTTGCCCTTGGCTTGCCAAGTAATTCTGATCTGTATCAGTTTTTTCTTTCATAATTCACAAGTCTGATCTCCCTTCCGTACCCATTTAATTTGCAACCTTTGTTACAAGTAGATTTAGTTTCTTTTCAACATATTAAAAAGGCTAAGTAAAGCAACGCCAAGAACAGTTGCTGGAAGATCCAGATGGAAATGCACTCAATTAAGCACCATTTAAAATTACATTGAGACCTATGAGTTAGCCACATTTTAATCCATTTAATGTGTGCCATGTTGATTTTTGTATTGTTGTGGTTTTCAGTCAGAATATTACGCGGTACCGGTCAAATGCCTTACACAGTCTAAGTATTTATGACAACAATATTACCTGCGTCAACCAGGCCTGTCACTTCAAACAAACATACCAAGTTTAAAGATTTATACTTATCTGCTCTGAATTCACATATCCACGGCAAAAGTAACAAATACTGGCCAGGCTCCTTACACAGGAAGGCACACCACTCAGCTTAAATGGACTCTTTTTTAATTCACTCATTTAGAGGCAATTGTCATTACGTTGGGGGGGGCAGGGGAGGGAAACGCCAATGCACCACATTGTTTTCACTAGCCTGGAAGAGAAAACACTTATATATATATAGATATATAGGTATGTATATATATACACACACTTTATGCATGTGTGTATATATATATGTGTGTGTGTGTGTATATATGTATATATACACGCTAGTGTATATATACACAGAATATACATATATGAATATACAGAATATATGCACACACACTTTGCTCAGATTTGTTTACAAAATATGTAGCATTTTTATACCATCCAATAAGAGGTACATGGTTTTAAACAAATCTTATAGAAATGACATGTTATTGGAAATTTACACGTAAAAAAATCCAGCACAAAAAAATCCAAAAGCTAAAACAAGATTTTGCTACTAATCAGTGCTTCTATCACCCTTCAAGAAAAGAGAAACACAGTTATTTATATGTGATGTAAAGGCAACATTGAGGGTTTTTTTTGCTTTTTTAAATTAACCACCAAATTTAACCCCCTAAAATTACAAAGAATTGAAGTCCATTTACAGATCAAGTGCAGTAAACTAAATGTTCCTTCAGCACAAAGCAGCACTAGAGAAAATAACTGGGAGAGGGAAAGTGGAGGCCAACTGGCTTAGCTAGGGAGGCAGCAGGTGGCTTCTGCAGTGGCCACACAGGTCAGAGTCTCCATCCTGAAGCAGAGACAGAACCAAAGACTTTATTTAAATAATGGTCACACAGAGCTGATGTTCAGACCTTTGCCTAGCTTCTTTCAGCAGTATGACAAGTGATTTATGTATTTTTATAACTGTATCCAATGGGCTGGTTTTGCTTTTGCAGTGGCTTATCACTGAGAGGAGTCACGAGGATCTTGCAGACAGTTCTGCCACTAACATTTACCACAGGTCCATGGCGCTGCAGCTGGCAGTGGCGATTTTGAAATGTTTACACTGGACAAATGTGTGTTCCAAGCATCCAAAATGGCTTGAAAGAACATAGCCTGATGCAGGGGGGAGCGGACGGCCTAGGGAATCCATTGCATTTACCGAAATGGAACGGCCACTTTCAATCACGTGGCATCTCCCCAGTTGTGTGAAGAGTTTGGTGTCAGTGTCAGCTGAACTCAGTGAGGAGTGGCTGGCCTTTGCATCAGAGGTCTGTGATCCAAGCAGGTCGCGGAGCCAAGAACATGCTGCTAGCAGAAGGGCAGTCCACAGCTGCGAGTGGCAGCTGTCATGCAGTCGGCGATGCCTTGCAGATGTCACCTGTAGGAACCATGCGTTCCATGCTAATTCACCTGAAGTCTCATCAACAGCAAAAGGGAAAAATGAAATGAGAGGGCCAGGTGGATCCAGGTGTAATAGTACTATCCTTTGAATGTAGTGTCATTTTAGTTGTTAAATAAGGGGCTTGACCAGGAGGACTCTATTCCATCAGGTGGGCTGGAGAGGAAGCTCTTGTCTTGTGAAAATGAAAAGGAGATCTAATGCTCCTTGTGCTAAGTTTTACAAATTAAGATTTCTGTGTTCAGAAGGTAATTTTTCAGAAGACAAACCTGTTCAAGTCACGCTGTGTAAAAATGTGAAGAGGCAGACAGGAATTTTTCAGCCATAACTATAATAACAAGGACTGGACTCTGGAGCATGAAGTCAGAAAGGACTTGATTTTTAAGAAAGGTCCAGCTGGATCATACTGTGCTGGCAAGCAGAACTGAGGGCAATTTCTCCATTCTAGAAGCTGTTTTGGAAAGTTGTTTCTGGGGAGGTGTTAAGAGTGACCTATTCACAGGTTCTTTTTTTGTGGATGGAGAGGAAAAACTGGGAAGGTATACAAATCTCCACAGTGGTCTGCAATCCAACTTGGGAGCTCAGTGTTGAGACGGGATGGGGCCAGATGTGTTCAGTATTCTTAAGAACCACAAAACATGTCCATTGCAGCCTGTTGTTGCACGGGATAGAGAACTTACTCCATTATTTGTAACATGTTCCTCATGCCAATAACCCCAGCTGGCACGTACAGCAAAGTAGATACATTGCATGTGAAGGTTTAACTCATCTCTCGCCGCCATCCAAAGAGGAGGCATCCAGGGGAGAACATGAAGGATGAATTCAGCTACGTTCTCAGAAAGGCTGAACATCTCCCTGGACTGCAGGCACACACTGCAGCAAATACAAGAGAAAAGCAGCCAGCCTTCTCTTGGATGCCAGGAGTGTGGGGGCTAGTGGATGAGGGACTATTTTCCCGTAATAGGAAGAGGGAATATCTCAAAGTATAGAAAGGTGCCTCAACTCCACGAAGATGACAGTGGAGAGATTCAGAATCTAGAGGAGAAGGGTGATTCTGGAGACCCCTTGCCAAGGAGGGGGCATCCTGCCATGGAGAGCCAAAAGTTTTCCAGACGTATGTAAGAGCATGTGCACAAGGCAAGCGAATGAGCGCAAACAGGGTTATGGAAAACATTGAGAGAATCACTCCACGGGTGGCTTGTGGCTCGACAACAGGATTGGCTAGGTAGAGGAGCACACAGCACAGGGGCACCTCAAAGCTGGAAGCCTTCCATGGGAGCCTCACACTGCTGGAAGATGTACTGTTGCTGGTTGATATCCACTTGCGGGGCAATGCTGCTGTCTTCATCCTCTGTTCCAAAGTAGTGCTCAATCAGATCAAAGGCCTTCTGATAAATCTCTTGATTTTCATGGCTCTGCAAAAATTCAATCTTGTCCAAGCCTGCAAAGAAAAGAAGTACATAAAAGTTATAGCTCAGTGAAAGCATATGACCATGACAGTTTTCAGTCCGCTGTGAATATTTACATTTGATGACAACTGTCTCCCACCTTCAGAAAAAACAGGCCCCCCTAAAGAGACCCTTACCCAACTTATACTCTCCACAACCAAGGAAAAACAGGTTGAACTACAGAGTTCCCTGTAACTGTGTTGTCTGTTTAACTGTGTTAACTGTTTCATACTCTCTGTCTGCCTCTACCCTCTCACTCAAAAATTAAATCCACAGGCTTGAATGGGTAAAGAAGAACAAGGCCTCAAACTCAAAGACTTCTTCTGAAGAGACTTTAAGGACCAAATTTCCTGAAGTGTGTTCCCAGTGCTTTCCTTATGAGGACTATGACTACAGAATCACTTAAGTGCAAGTTGAAAAAGACTTCTGATAATCATCCAGTCCAACCTGCAACCCAGCCCAGGAATATTAACCAACACCAGATTAGGTCTGCTGTGTCTACGCAAGTATTCAAAACTTCCAAGGATGGAGACTCTGTTACCTAATCTGTATCCAATGAATATACAATGCAGTTAAACTCAGGCAACCAGTTTTTGGGAGGCATTAAGCAAATGGGCAAATTCAGGCCTTGTAGTCAGATACAAAGGAAAATAATACAGCAAGGAATAACAAAATCCAGGTGTTAACCATTTTAGTAAATCTCTAATATTGGGAATTGTACTGGCTTTCTTGTCTACCCCTTTTCTACATATGAAGACTAGAGTACACAATTCTCTGATACTCTATACATATTCCTTTAACACTGACGTGAAAAGGGAAGTTAAAACCTAGAAGCAGGAAAGAAAAAATCCTATTCTGATATAACTGTTCCCAGGAAGTCAAGGTAACCATGAAGGTAAACAAGGTTCAAGAAACCACCTTCAATGATGCTATCTTCTTCTATACTGCTCTTGATACCCATTTTTATTTTTCTTAATAAGAACTTAAGAGCAGCAGTACCTCAGAACTGAAATGAAATCACACTGGTATGTGCCAGAACCTCAGCATAGCAGAGGCAAACAAGGAATTTGCAGCTGCTGCCATAATTCTGCAGGGCAGCAGAAAGGGATGAGGGAAAGGTTTGAAACCTGAGCAACAGAGCACTGCACCTGAGCTTTTATCTGCTGTGAAGGAAAGATATTGATATGACTGAATGACTCCCAGAAGGCTTTCTCAGGGACAAAAGAAATCAATAAAAGAAAATCTGCACACACTGTTTTCCGTCTACAGGCAGTCAAAGATAATGTAAAAAACCAGAGTACACTGGAGACTTATCAAAGAACAGGTTCTTTTCAGCGAACCTTTCATAAGGTAATTAATAGAATTAGATCTACTGAAACTCTAATGGGATCATGATCTTGGCTTTATGGCCTGACTTGCACAAGCGTTTTGCTCATACCATAAGCTTCTTCAATAAGAGCGCAGTAAGGATTAATGCCAGTGCCACTGCGTTTGGATTCCTGCTCTCCAAGCCTCAGGATGTTCTCCAGCCCGTTCAGTGCTACTTGCACAATCTTTGAGTCCATTACTGTGAGGAGGTCGCAGAGTGGTCTGATGCATCCCAGTTCCACTAAATACCTGGAAAACAACATATAGACCCCAGTAAATTGTCTGCAAAATTGTAACTGGTGTAGCCATTTAAGCACTTAGCATGAAGGTTTAAGAAACCAAAGCAATCAGATAAAATATTGACTGGAGAAACTAAAGAAAACTAAAGAAATTAACTGACTAGTTGCATCTAGTCAATTCTGCTGAAACAATCAAAATAACTTTAAAATACCTTCTCTGAACCCCCTTTATAGCTATGAAATAATGACTTCTTTTTGTACCATAAATTTATATTTCTATCAACAGCAACTATGTTGTTAATATGTTTATAAAGTTATTTGCTATTTTATACAAAATAAAATAAGTGTAACGTACCAGTTCAAGTTAAACAGGAAAAGCAATACATGTGATAGCCACTGTCTGAGGTGCCAAACTATTCCTCTCCAAACTGCTAATGCACTTTGTTACACTCCACAACATCCACTCAGAAGTTAGTTTAAAAGTTTCACTTAGTTTTTTTCATGTAAGAGAAACAGTTCAGTTATTTAAATAAGCACTAGAGCTAAAATACTTCTATGATTTCTCCCTAAAGGAATGAAAGGTTTAATCACAACAAGGACATGGTCTCTCTGGATACAAGACTGAAAGCATACAGAAAGGTACAACCAATTTCTAGGTTGATAAGTTTGTTTTCTTGCACAAACACTAATTCACTCAATTGCATTGCAACATTTTAACAATTTCATACTTGATCTGTTCAGCAGAGCCTCCAGATGTTGCATTTGTGATTGCCCATGCAGCTTCTTTCCTTGTCCGAAACTCAGCCGTTTGCAAAATATTTATAAGAGCTGGGAAGATATGGGCATCTATGACTGTCTGCAAAAACAAATGACACGTCAGGGTTATAATAAAGATTAGAAATAACTTCCTTGTCCTGAGCTAGTTAATGTCTGTGCTCAGCACAGCACACTGAACAATGAAATGTCACTTTATCAAGGGGCCAAAACCGATAAATCAGTTTTCAGCTTTACATTCAAAATCCTAGTTATTGCCATGGTTTGTGTTCATCCCAAAAATTCAAAACACATTCAGACTGAAGTGGCTGGCATATCTAAGGAGTTACTTAATCGCACCCCGACAGTAAAAGAATGCCGTACTTCCCTTATTTTTCCAGGTAGTGAACCACTCGGTTATTAAGTCAGTAAACCATTCCGTCATTAAGATCCCTTAAACTTCATATTCCTATGCACCAAACTACATTTCCACTGGGCAAGACAACAGAGCAAAGAGAACCCAAAGCAGCAGATGGTTCAGCAGTAGGGTTAACTGCTTAGCTCAACAAAGTGGTACAAGTCAAATGAGTATTTGGGCAGCAACTCCTAAGTTTCTAGTAACTTCCTGTGAAAACAGCCTTCTGCAACAAACAACCTTCTGCAATTAAACCAGTTTTGCTACAGAGATAGGACAAGGATCTGAAATACTTTCATAAGGATCATTCAAACAACCAAGAGTTCAGGACTACATTTTTAAACTACCACTTCACGTTTGTAACTTATCACAGAACTGATAAAGGAAAATTCAAAGAAAGCCAAAAAGATGCTTTTCACGGATCTCTGTAGAAGAAAACTAACAGATTACATACAGCAAAAAGCTGTAGTCAATTCACAGTGTGAATGGCTACCTGGTGAAAATAAAAAAACTGTCTGATATTTCTTTTATCCTTGTTTGTCTGGACATCCACACTGAATCTGCTTTGCAAATCCACACCACCTATAGTTGCCCCCTGACATATTTTACTGCAAAAAAACCCACTTAATTTTTAAAAATATACCAAAGCCACACACTGTTAAGGGTCCATTGAACACAAGAGCACCCGCTTCATTACGGCTGTAAGATCAAGAGCCTTATCAAAGGGAGATACAAGTAACAAGAAAGAAAGAAATAAAACACACAGTGACACACACTGTGATAGACAGGGGTAAGAGAGACAATTACAAAGAAGGAAAAGCTCCAGTCACTAATTAACGGGTCATTACGAGCCTACAGGCAGAGAGCCAGCCTGGATTTTGTAACTGATGACAGGGATAGGTGGAACTGCTAAACTCAGTAACAAATCTTTTCTTCACTGTTTTACCATGTAACCCCCCGTCTCTAGCTCGCTGAGCGCTGTAAGGATTAGGTGCTCACAAATGAGATCCGCATGACTGAATTTGGGCCAGGAACTGGATCTGACCGCAGGAGAAACCTGTGTCTGTGAGGCCAGCAACTGGAGTGGGTGGGCATCTCAGCATCAGTAGCTGGAAGGGCCAAGGACTAAGGTCCCAGAAAACATGAATTTGGGGCCAGCAACTGATGTCAGACCTTGGATAAAGGGACCCCTACAACTGGAGCAGGTGAAGGCCCCGGCATCAGCCACGGGGGCAGGATCATAGTCCATAGCGCCTGTTGTGCCTGGATGCCAGCAACTAGGGGACTGAACTCAGCACTTCAACTGGAATGGGACTGCAGGTCACAGGACCATGGGCTTGGCTCTGCGTGATGAAGGAATTTAATAATAATGGCCAGTCTTCGCGAGCGAAGATCCGGGGAAGGTCTTTACACCTTCCAGCCTGCGCATTGGATTTTTTAGGTGAGACACAGTGTGCGCGGAACTGAGCCCACCCTTTAATCTAAGGTTCATCTGCCAGGGCCAAGCGAGCTTGGACGGTGGCAGCGAGGTCCTTAGGACGTAGGTGGGTTGCCTTTAAGGGCTAACGAGCCCCACCTGCCCGGGAGTGGCCCTGACCGGGAATCGAACCCGGGTCTCGGCGGTGATAGCGCCGCACCTTTACCACTAGACCACCAGGGGCTCCACTGAGGGAATTTACATTATCCCAAAGCATGGTGGTGAGTGTGGAAGATCACGATTTTATTTAATTTGCTGGCAAACTGACTAGGCAGAGCAAGTGGGAAGCTCAGGATCCAGGCATGGACAGGGGTCTGCAAGCGTGGAGATGCTCGAGACAAGCATGTGCATCTGTTTGCTAGTGAGAATCAAGCTGAACAAGCCAATGAGTAGAACCGAAGTGCAGTGAGTGAAGAGAGCTCATGATCCAGCCATGGACAGCAGATGAGCAGAGAGCCCACAGTGACAGTCAAGAGATCTGTGACTCTGTGTGTGTGCTTGTGGATCTAGAGAGTGTTTTTTCACTAGTAAACTTCAATCCTCATCAGACAAGAATGAAAAAGAGGACTTTTCAGTCTACATTTCATTTTATGTGAGCCCAGAGAGCGCTACACAAGGGTGTTGTTGAGGTAAGAAGCCCTTAAGAGAACAATGCACTAAGGGATATTCTCTACTGAAAGCTCTTGATATAGATCTAGGATAGGATACTTTAGGGCACTAGTTTTTACTATTGTGGCAAAGAATAAGTCAAAAAAAATCCCATTAGCACTTCTTAAATCCTCTCCCCAAAATTAAACTTTTACAGGAGATTTATTTCCTTAGAAAGTCTCTTCTTAAAATCAACTTCTTTAGTAACTACTAAAACCAGAGTATGTTACATGATAGCATGGAACTAAATCAGCACATCTTACCTGACAGGCAGTAACCATGCTTTGAACCTTCTTACTGCCAGAAAAAAAAAAGCTATCTGAAAATGTTTCAACTTAAACTGGTAAAATACTAAGAGAAATTCGGAATAAAGGGGACTAGCAGCAGGATAGCAGTTAAGTGGGAGAACATAAAAGGTTCTTGTTTTTCTTCTGTTTCAATCAATTTTAAACTCTGTTTCAGTGCTTCAGTGGGTAAAATTACTCTTCTTAAGAGTAGAGAAATGTTCACTTGAATGTTTTCAGAAAGAACTGAATCCAGGTCTCGCATCTCTTGAGTGAGTGCTCTTACTTTCATTTATTTTTATTTCTTACTCTATTGTATAAAAGGCTATGGGCACCCTGTTTACTTTCTGCTCAACAATGATGTTGACTATCTTTACCCAAGCAGAACAGGTTAAAGCACCACGATAAGCCACAGCCTTTCATAAGGCACTTCAGTGGCTTGAGAGAGAAGCAGATTATCAGTCACTATATTTTATGTTTCCTACCGCTTGACATGCATTTTAAGTGTTGTCACCACCCCATCCTAGCATGAGTCTCAGTTAAAGGTACTTAACTGTCCCTCTGTAATACAGCAAAGCTTTTCAAATAGCAGTCTCTCAACAATTGAAACTTTCAGAGCTCAACTTTAGAGAAAAAAATTAACTAGGTCAGAAAATGCTTTGTTTTAACCTTAATATGTTTACTAGATTTCAAAAGTCAGTTAAGCTCAGCAAGGGTGGAAACAATAAAGCATTAATACAGAGAAAGTGCTAGCAGCATCCAAGACTTACACCCTATGTCTTGTAGCCCTGCCCACAGCAGTTACTCTGGAAAGCACATTAGAATGCCTAAGGATTCCTATCTCTATGATATTTTATGTGGGAACAACAGTTACTGTGGAAACAGGTCACGTTTCCCTTTCAGTTAAATTTCTTTTAAGTGATAAAACAGTAAATACTGAAATAGAATTTGGGTTTGCTTTTTCTTTCTTTTTTTCTTGAAGAAAAGTAAACCTCAGGCAGAGTGAAATTCTAAAAGGACTGTAACAGGATGAAGTCTTTAAAACTTCTGAGGATTTAGAATGGCTTAATTCAAATTACTTCACTTTTTTGGCATTCCTATACTGCGTGAGCCTGACATGTAGTAGTACAATGAAGATTAAAGTAATGCACTGCATATGAAATTCTCAAGATCAGCACAGCTGTTAAACAAAATAAACACAATCCCAGGATTTCAGTTCAATAAGAACTTTAAAAACAGGAAGGAAATAAAAAGGTTTTAGGTTGCTGCTACTAGGCACGGAGGTGGTATTTACCAAATACAACAAAAATCTCTTTTCTGCACAATAGGTAATCCAACGCCCATCCTTTGATAAATTAAACTAATACTGAAGCTTTTGCCCAGCTGCATCCACTGGTATTTGATGGAACTGAACCCCATCTGGAGTTGTAACTGTGAGTCTTTCAGAAAACTGAAATTCAATTTTAATTGAAACATGAATTTTCAAATTTAATTTGAACTGATTTGTAATGCTCAGTTCTTCAGCAAATCTGGTCCTCACTTTCAAATTGTTAACTTTTCTATGTTTATCTGGGGGGTGAGTTTGTTGTTTGGGGGTTTTTTTAATAGTTGGTATCCCTGTGCTGCAGTCCTCCAAGAAGGTTGCCTGTCTTTTGAAAACATTCTATCCATTTTATTTTAATCAAGCTTCTTCCTTTACAGTATTTGATTTTTAAAGAGTGAAGCTGGATTAAAAAAAATGCATTTTCAGAGGTTTATTACACCTGCATGGATGTTTAATCTAAATATATTGTAATCACTGTTAGGAAGGTCTTAGCAGCAGTATATTAGATTACTATTTTGAGCTGGTAGTACCACAGGAATTTGCTTCTCCCTCTTGGGGTTCCCACAACTAAATCAATATGCAAAAACACACACATCTAGTGTGCACATGTGGCCATCACATGTCTACATATGACTCATCACATAAATGTGAATGCACACAAGTTTCACACTGTGACAGTTTCCCTGCAAGCTCTACTCGTTACCTTTAACAGATGAAGATTACAGTCACCAGACAACTGGCAGCTGCAAATACAGCCCTACTGCTCCTCCTGGCTGGAAATTATAGTTCATAGAGGCTGCTCAGTTACTTCTATTCAAGTTACCTTGTTTATTGATTTAATTTACAACTGCTTTATAAATAACATAGCAAATATTTGTAAGGCAAAACTACGTAACATGGTGGCATGAGTACAAAACCAACTGTCATCAAAGAGCCAGAAAGGAAGCCCTTCAGA